AATCAGCAGCTACGCCGTGTGACGGCAGAAAAAGCGAGACAGAGAGGAAATAAAGTGTTATAGAGCTTGGTGGTAGAGTGGAATAACAATGGAGACGCCAGCAGCTATCTCTTTCAATCCTTTGACGAATGCACTTGTCCCTGATGTAAGAAGATTTCCACATCGATTCCTGCTCTCTCAGAGAGCTGATGTTGCAAGATACATACACGTTTCGTTCGTAGTTCTTCTGAATTTGGATTAAAATGCAAAAGAAGTGGACCTTTGGATGATGTTCCGAATCTTGAATCACGATACCGTACCTTTCATACGCTTAAAACTTCGACTGAGGGAATTGCAGCTGAGATTAGGTTCGGATCGACTTGGTCCAGGGATCAGAAGCTAGCTTCAAACGAATTTCTCTCGTATTTTTCTCGTTTATTTTAGGTCACCTAGGGTTACGTCCTAAGATTGTTGAGTTGCGTCCAGAATTAAGCATCGCTTTCTTGCATGCTGATCTTCGTTTGGATCACTGGTACTGGTCGTCAAGGGATATCTTAAGCCCAGATTAAATTTCAAAGTTCTTCGCCTGGCTGAAGTAGAAGCAACTTCTCTGGCAGGATAAATTGGATAGACTTCGTTGGGATATGCTGAAGGTTCTCAGCAACTGGATTCTTTCAGGACACTCTAACTTTGGTAGCCAGAATTTTGAAGATAGAGGATGGTATCGAAGTTGAGAATGTTTAAGGATATTTATGTGTTTCAACATGGTACTCGAGGTGATGATTTAAACTGCTTCAAAGTTATATTTATGGTCTGTAGATTCATTGCTCTGAAAGAACGGTAATTCAGATTGACAGGAGCACTAATTCAGGCTGGCAGATTTATTTTTACGGGCAGACGTTTGTTCAACGTCGACATCCAGTTCCATAAATCATTCGAAAATGTTACCAAAAATTATGATCAGGAAGCATCATTCCAGCTTCACTTTCCAAAAATAATTTTATTCGATTTGTATCACTGTCCTAAGTACGTACTTTTGAATTGATTACTACTCAATATTAAATTAAATTAGTGCTTTTAAACAATCAGATGTATCGAGTTTTAATATAAGTATTTCAAAACCTAGGAATAAGGTATTTCCGACTATTAACTCATAAATGATATCTAAATTGGTTATTAAGTAGATACTTCATGTTGAGTATTCACGAATTACAATTTCAAGTGCCTGGCTCAGCCTGAATCATTCTCTGACTCATTCACTTTCATTCCAAGAAAATCTGGCAATCTATATTTTATCACAAAGCTATGAGAGTAACTATAGCTTATCAAGTATAAAACCCAGTACTCAATCCCTAAGTATATAATAGTCTTACTAAATCAATAATCCTATTTCCTAAACACTTGTCCAACTAATTCATCCAATTATCAGCTATATTCAGCAGAGAAAGGGGTAATAAAACCTAATTTCTTCCATGTACTATCTCAATACTTGATCTTCAATTGATACCCGAACACTGGACCCTAAATACGTCAAAGCTTGGTTTATCCAATTTCTCTGCTGCCAGCTATTCTATTTCGTTACTCATTTCTTCACGACCTCAAAGAAACCTATCAATTCATCATCTAAGATGCTTTCAAATTTCAACACAACACCCAATCGTCTCAGTGTAGAGGTCACTACAGCCAAAGTTTGACTATGCAGCGGACCAACCATGACCGCATCTCTAACAACGACGGGGCCAACGCGCGCCACTTTCAAACTCTCGTTTAACTCGAAATCCAAACTTCCCGAAATATCAGCAGAACTGCTCTATTCCTACTCTCCAGAGCGTCCGACTTGCGCGATTTCCTCAAACAACAGCCCCGAAAATATGCGGCTCCGCAAACACTCGTAACTCTGACAATTGATAGCCGAGGGGAAGGACGAGTGGGAGAGCAAAATACCCAGTGGCTTGGGAACCGATGATTCGTCATAATTCCCAGCGATCGATTCCTCCGTTTACGAGAATCGAACGAGCACTTAACCTCACACGGCGAGGCGATACGGTAACTGCCGGTACTCCAAAAGATGGGGATCGTTCTCCTCGCGATATGGAGATAAATCACGGAGAAAAAGAGCCCTTTGACGGTGTGTACGTTTCAAGAGCGTGACGGATAGAGGCTTTCTAACCGTTCCAAATAGGAACACGTTACTCTACGTGTTACTTTTCATTCGTCCCTTCGCGTTCTAGGGTCAGCTTGATAAAAGTCCAAGTCGACGTTATGGAAACTCTCGGGTCTGAGCTCGATGTGGCTTTCGAGTTTGAGCTTTGATCGATGAGCACGTGGAGTCTCGAGTGGCTTTTTGGTACACGAGATTGTTTCATTCAGGAGTTTAGTTGGGTACTTTGGTCTTTCCTTGGACCGACACTATGAGCATATTAGGAGTTTCAGTATCTTCTTGATATTTCCCATTAAGTATCTGAAGTTTCTAGGTTATATCGACACCTTGATCTTATTGCAGATTTTCCAAGTGATCTTGGTGATTTTTGAAATGTAATTAAAGTCGTATTAAATTTCTGCAGAAGGTTTCTGTCAGATTTTCCAAGTTTAAAATTGCTATTATTTTATATCGGATGAGAAAGGGGATAAGTATTTTAAATACTTCAACTCCTCTTCGCCTGTCTAACCTTCCAACAGCATAATTCCTGAACTGCATGGCCAGGATTCATTTTCCAATAATTCTTGAGATAAAAAGTTCCATCATGCTGAAATCTATGTACAATCTGCAGTCTTTTCGTTTCATCCAATCTTCCTTCCATTTAAATTTTTCTTAATAGTAAGTTCTCGAACCAGCATTTAAAAATTCTTCCATCTTTAAATTTAAGAACACATTTTTGAGGCAGTATTCTTAATATTACTCTTGTTGGAAACTCTGTCGATCACGAACGGGATAAAATTGTTTGGAAGGTAGTCGTCGGCTGACCAGAAAATTCAAACGTCAAAGATTCAGCGTACAATCGAGGCACGCATCGAAAGATTACGTATTCAGGGTCGTGCGTCGCGTTGCACCCTTGGAGTCCCGATGCACGAAGAACTCTATGACGCTCGCACGTAAAAATAGGAAATGCTGTAGGTCTCACGGGGCACGTGTTTCCTTTTCTTCGGAGTTAATAATAAGGATGATCATCGAACGATGGTGGCCACTCTTTTCCTTTATATTGATCACAGGAAACCATTTTCAATCCAAACGTCGGCAACCCCGAAGGTTCTTAAGCAATTTTTATTCCTTTTGAGCAAAAATAAATTCACAGTAAAATGGCTTCGTTCCCAGGGTATCGATTCCTTCGTCAGTACGAATTTTTATGATTTTAGAAATTAATCAGAATACTGTTTGATTAAACGAGATTGGAAAATGAAATCTTTTATTCGACGAAGCCATGGAGCCTGGATTTTATATAATTTTTATTCGTCGAGAAATGTAGGTTTCGAATTTACGGGAAATTTTAAACGCGGATGCTTAATTAGCTTCGTATAGGAATATTCGAGATTCGAAATAATGTAATTTCACCTTTGAGTAGTTTTTAATCTCTTTATTGGATTTCAGATAAAGTAATTTTGTCTTGGATAAGTTTAGAAAATTTTCCAACCGTGTTGTCGTCGAACGAAGTTTATTTTCCACTCGAATGCTCGGGTCTTAGCTCATTTGTCACTCTAAAAAAATCTAGTAGCTTATTTTTGCAAGAATATCGAGCTTCCTGTTTTAGACGACACGGTTTGATCTTCGTTAACTTCAGCCGAATACTCTTCCACCAAATATTACGAACAAGACCTCGAACTGGCTTATCGTTGCTCTGTATAAGGTTCCTCGTGTTCCAAATAACCATTGCGCCTCCAGTGGCTATGATCAATATTTTTTGGTACTGTAGATAAGTCCTAAACTGCCGTGAAAATGACTCTACTTCTATGATTTATGCATCGCGGAAGAGGTTTCCTTGTCATTTAAATTCCTTTGCCAGCTTTTCCTATTTTCCATTTCCATTGCTTATTTTCCATTCTCCCAGTTCTCGATTGCCATTTTCCATTTTTCATTTCCTGCCTTGCTCCTCCATTTTTCCATTTCTTCGCCGCATCTTCTACTTCCCAATTGACCTGTTTTGTATTTCCTATTTTCCATTTCCCGTTTCTTATTTTTAATTTTCCACTTTTCTGTTTCCTATTTTCCACGTTCCATACTATGTTCTCCTTTTCACATCTTCCATTTTCCATTTTCCGTTCCTTATTTTTAATTTTCTATTTTTCTGTTTCCTATTTTCTGCGTTCAATATTCTATTCTCCTTTTAACATTTTCCATTTTCCATTTTCCGTTTCTTATTTTTAATTTTCTACTTTTCTCTGTTTCCTATTTTCCATTCTCCATTTTCAATTTTCAATTTTCCATTTTCCATTTTCCATTTTCCATTTTCCAACTGTATTGCTTTCCATTATTTATCTCTCACGTTTTGCAATTTAGATTCTACGTACTTCCCATTTCTACTTTCCCTGAATTTCAGGAATTTCAAATTTTTTCGACCAGACGTGTATACTACATGCTTGATCAGTTTTCTCTTCCACTCTACGTGAAATCTACACGCCTCGTTTCCTCCATTGTACCTTTTCGATGACCCTCGTCTTGAATTATCGTCGACGACTTGATCTCCCCGTACGTGTCAATCTCAGGAACACGTCAAATATGCTCAAACTCTCGGGTAACCATAGCCACCACCCGCCTCGGTACCCAGAAACCAAACTACCCGCACCCAACCCGTAACACACCCCAATAAAAAGCAACTCGAACCCCAAACAACGATCAAGCACGGTCCCGCGATAAAGCCCGAGAGCCACAGCGAATCCCCAAACACCCATTCCCTCTTAAATCACGGAACCAGCCTCGGCAATCCTCCTTAACACATCCATCACCCTCAACAGCACAACCGGGCCGGTTCTCACACCGATGACCGACTTCAAAGGACTCTTGTCCTTCGCCTGATAGCTGTTCTCACCTCCGACTTGTCTTAAATCCTCTTGGAAGCTCTCCAATATGAAAGGAAGACCAAAGGCTCGGGACGAGAGTTGCAGGAGTCCTCTTCGAACCGACAACACGAATCAGAACGCTCGGAATGTCTCATTGCCGCGCGCGAGCAATGATCCACGACGCGAAACGATCGAGGATCAGCCGCGCTGATCCGGTCGAGGTCGCGCGTGCTGTCGCACTGAGTGAGCGTCGACGAGCTGCCCTCCTGCGAACCCAGACCACCGCCGCGAGCATGCTCTCTCACTCTCTCTCGCGCGCGCTCCGTTCCGCTCGACTCGGCGTCGCGCCGACACGCGTTTCCTCGGGGATTGCTCACTATCCATCCGCTCGAGCAGCGAACTGAACACGCGCGGGTCCCCGTGGAGCTTGGGTTCGAATCGTGAATTGTGGCCCGCGTTCAGAATGCAGAGTAGTAACGATTTACTTAATCGAGTTGGGATTTGAAGCCGAGCTTCGAAACGGAAGGAAATGTAGTTGTCGCAAGACTGCAGTTCGTTTCCAGGCGTAATTGTTAGCCATGGTCAATGTAAGTTTCCTATTTACCCAGCTGAGATTCGCTATCTCGGGATAAGATAAGGAAGGAACGAGAAGATTCTGAAACTATGGATTTATTGAAGAAGAGACAGAGATGAGGATGATAGTATTATTATTATTAAGCAACCTTCGTTTCCGAAAATGAGAGTTATACGTGACAGGTATAAATTGGAACAAAGTTTCGAGAATTATATGTTTGGTATGTTGGTGGTAAATAGCAGATGTCAAGAGGAAGACATTTTGTTTAGGTGACATATTTGCAATTTTGCTCTGTTTCCCGGCAATGCACGTTTAAAGATTCAGAATTTTGGCGCCTGCGGTCGAGCAACCCGCCAGGCACAGGCCACTCGTAAATAATGAGCCACGTTCGCCTGTCGTATTTGGAAAGGTATCGTGACTATTAATATTAACTGCTCGTAAAATTTAAGTGATAGAGCGATGCGGTATAACCTTTGTACCGGATAGCATGCCGTTTTTCACTCGCGAGCTTAATAAGGTCTCGTGGATACAGTGCACTCCGGGTTGCTCGCTAACGGGCGCCTAACTCTCGAATCTTTAAATCTTCGTAAATTTGAAACGGGACCATTTAAGATATACGTTCGCTGGACAAAAAGTGTCCCATTCATCATTCTCTACCATCTGCGACTAATTTTATTTCGATTCGAACAATTTCCATTTTTTTTTTTTTTTATTAATTCTCGAAAGAAACATGGCAATTAGGTTTTCCTCTTCTATTTTGACCAAGCTAAACGGCGATGCTCATGGACCCAGGGGAACACTCAATCTCGCGTGGAAACGAGATTTAGAAGCAGATGGAGTCGCCAGCTTCTCGTGGATCGGATATGTTCGAGGTGGTTTTATGGCGGACAGGGAAACAGAGAGTGGATTGATGCTTCTATTGATGGACGTGGTTCGAACCTGGGTTGGACAGTTGTTTGGTACCCTGGGGCTGCTTCTCTGGAATGAACGTGTAAGTCTGAGTGGTTTCGAGAATTTCTGTGTTAACGTCAAGGCTTCTGTCTCGTAATGGATCTGAATTTTGCAGTCTTGAAGGTTTATATGACATTTTAAATGCAGCTTTCAGAGATGCCAGCAAAGTTGGATAACTTTGAGAATTCCGGTACTTCAAATCAATAACTCGGAATTTTACGGTAACGCCGGTTCTGTTTATTTATCAGTGAAATAACATTTTTCATTAACCCATTAATGAATACGTTCGATTTATCCGGCTAGGAAAATATTCTCGGCAAATCTTTGAACGAAATAAATGCGAATTTAATATCGGGGTATGAATTTCTGCACCCTATCTGTTTCATCCTGCCACTGTTGAGTAATGTAATACATCTGCTCAGATTTATGCTATTTTGTCCTGGATTTCGGTAACATTCACCGAAATGAGAGAAGGAATGTTAAGAAACTTTTATCGACGAAACCTTCTCACTGATTATAATTAACCCAGCATATATTACAATTTACACATTCATCAGCATAATGACATTCAAATTGCAGTTAAAAATGCGGTTTGAAAGCAGTCCAATTTTTGTGTCTGATCATTTTTAACCGGGACTAAAGATAAATTTCGTTTCAATTTCGAAAAATCCACACGAAATACAATTTCAGTTATCGACACGATGATTTCTTAGTGTATTAACGACATTTATTTGAGAACATTATTTTCTTCAGCGAATTTTCAAATTTTAACGAGCCACATTATCATGCTTTTTCGTTGGTAAAAATTAATTCTTGATCGATAGGTATGATTGATGAATGGGTGAAGGTTGGTAACGATGGGTAAATGGGAGATTGTGTGTGATATGGGTGTCAATTGCCAGTAACAATACAGTGTACGTGCAATTGGGTAAAAGTGAAAAATAAAACCAAAGATAATTGCAATGTTCAGTCGTAGAAAATAGATCATAGATTATTTTTGTTCCATTGTAATATTATTTTGATATTTTAATTAAAAGCCTATCTCAAAACTTTTTCCATAGAGTGGACAACCAAAGTGGACATGCAAACCTAACCTCCAACATTTTTAACAGAGGTTAGAATTTAATTTTTAATTTTTGTTGCTAAACACACTCCTACCGTTTAACAAGTGTAAACGCTCTTCTATGAAAATTATAAGGATAATTTCACCTACAGTTTCCTCCAATTAATTTTCTCACTTACTACCGTTCCTCAGAACCCTTTAATTAAAACGAAACAGAATTTTCATTTTCGTCAAACGAAATGAAATTTGACTTGAATCGTTAACAACCCGAGATTCTGTTTACTCCACAAGCAATCTTCAGGTAGAGAAAATCAACAAAAGCCAGCCAGAGTTTCAATCGCGAAGCCAAAGCTAATTTCAACCCCCTCCTGTCTCTCCCACAACCGTCACAAACCTGTCGTTCCCCCTTTCAATTTTAGAAGACTCACTACCTCCACTCTCGATCATTTGCACACAGCAAAGCAGTGATTTCTCATTCATGCTTTTTATTTATTTCCCTTCGATTTCGTTTGCGAATTTCGCTTGAAAAGCCACTTAAACTTCGCGATAACGATCTAATTTCAATTATCGACTACTCGAAATCGACTCGTTGAACTTTGAACCGTGCCCAGTGGTGAAAGTTAAATTAGAACGAGTCGATGAAAGTTGAAGAATTAAATAAACATTAACGAGGTGAATTTTCTTCGTCGTTTTGCAAAATGGAATGGGAGATCTTTAATCCGAGGGACGAGGGATATACACAAAGGAAGTTAGATGAAGTTCCTTCGAGGTCTCCTGACCCAGTGTGCGCAGAGGGCGCCGATAGATTGAAGTACGGTGAGCATTATCGCTGGCTACGTGTCGCGAGGGTTCAAAAGGAAGCACGAAGCTTCCTTTTCCGGTAGGAAATATTCTTTACGGTCATTGCTTCCCAGAGAAAGGCGCGTGAGAAGAAATTGTGAATGTCAGAGTTCGAGAAAATTCAGAAAATTGCGTTTCGTCTGTGGTTTTGCGTATTTCGTTCGACATGATAAAGGAATTAATTAATAATCTCAATAATAATTAATGTTGAAATTTTCATGGAAATTGTGAGAATTATCGTTCTTAATTATTTAATTATTAAATTAATTACTTACTTATTTTATCATTTTATTCCTTTTCATATTAATATCGTTGTTTAAGTATTATTTACTTAAAATGTAGTTAAAACCTATATGTTTCATCAGTGTTGCTTATATTTTGTGAAATGAGATAAACAATAAAATAAATAATAAAATTTTTGTTAGAAATTGCAAACATTGTGATTCCTAATTGCTTAATTATTTTATTATGCAATATATGTCCATTTATTTCGTTATTTAATTACTGTGTTTCCATTTATTTTAATATTTAATTGTTATTATTTAATTGCTCATTTATTTCATTCCAAATAGATATCGCTGTACGAAACAACAGCTTCCTACGAAATCTGTTATATTTACTACATGAAAGTAACCTACGTTCAGTGTTTCCACGTATCCCCCCTATTATATAGAGAGAAACCCGAAATCACTGAAATTCGATCATTCTTCGAAAAATTCGTAAAAATTTCACCTCTCTTGCCGTTCTGTTTTATTTTACAAAATATGACCAGCAAAATCTCCATTGCAAAAATCCTGGTTTCCAATCCTGCCATTTATTTCGTGGAACCGAATCACTGAAGCGTAGATCGTGTTCTCAGATACGTGAAAAAAAATGAAATTCCCAAAATGAACATAAAATTAGAGAAATTTACGACGTTTCGTGATTATTCCATTCATTTTGCAGAGTAAAATACGGAAATTTTTCTTTTAGAAAATCTGCGATAATTCTACGCTTCAATTGTTCCAATTATTTATCAAAAAAAAAGGAGAAATAAAGAAAAGGTAACAGAAAGGTAACTCGTTTCGTGGATGGATTGCAAAGAATTCGGTTTCAATATTATCAAAAGGCTGTGGTGAAATATTTTGTATAAAATATTCGATAACCGTGGTGAAACATTTTACACAAAAATATCAAAAATTCGATAAAGATAGGAAATATAGGAGAACGTTTGTCTAGGTCTACCAATTTCGATGTTTCCAAGGGATATTAAGTCTCCTTCTGTAGTCAGCACGTAAATAATCGTTCGTAGCCATGAAAAAGGAGAAGGATCGATCCCTCGGCCATACGATTCCACTTCACCCACTTCCTTTTTCGCACGAAATATTTCTCTCTGGCTGAAATTCCCATTCCGTTTCCTTCCTCGACGTACCATGCGCCCTGGCCACTATATAGCCTTCAGCATGATGAAACCATGATTCTCCAGCGATCAACCCTTAAAAGAACTCGTTCCCGACGAGAGAAGGAAGAATTTTTTGAACAAATCTACGACAAGCACAAATTTTCCTTTAGAAAGTTATTCGAGGAAAACTATTTCAATATCTTGAAATTTCTTTCAAACAAACAACCGTATAGTTTATATTAATGCCTTTGAACCGCAGACGTATACAAGCTCGAGTTAGACTACTTAATTTTAATATTTTTATTCTTTGGTTCCTTAACATTTTGCTTATAATTTGTGCTTTGTATTTTAAATATTATACTACCTTTTAAGTAATAACATAAATTACACTATTTATGCGTTATTATGTATTTTTAATTAATATTTAACAACTTAAATTAAACA